CTAATCCCCAGAGGAATGTGCGTTGTTGAGGTCAGGTCCCTACACGAAACTTCTGGAACCTTCTGGATAATTCTTACAACAGCCTAGTTTGTTACAATGTAGGGGGAACTAATCGTCGCCATTGATCACCACCAACACAGCTGCATTGGCTGAGAAAAAGTTAAACGCTTCTTTGTTTACATATACTGTCACACAAACCCACCTGTTCCCTCCCTTTCCCCTCCTTCTCCCCTCCCATCTTAAGAGGCTGCTCCCCTCCCCTCTCAGGCAGGGCTCCCCCCCCTTCCCTCAACATAACCTACATACTTCCTTACTCATCTTAAGACTCTGCTCTCCTTCCCTCAACATACTCCCAGCTATCTACACACACAAAGGATTAACTCTATGGAACATACTCATACATATTCATCTTCTCCTCCTCTTCCTTCTCCCTACATGACCGCATACCAACCACATATCCTCCAGCCTCCTACCCAACATGACCCTCTCTCAAGCGACCTCAACATACTCCCATCTATTTACACACACAGGTTTAACTCTATGGCACATACTCATACATATTCATCTTCTCTCCACCTCCTATTCCTTCTCCCTACATGATCGCATACCAACCACATAGCTTCCCGACCCTTACCCCAACATGACCCTCTCTTAAGTGACGCCTGGCCGGATGCCACGCGTCCGCCATGCGCCAAAACATCCGGGGAACCCATTTCACATACCTTGAGGAGTATGCACCTGTGCTCACCTGAGCAGGGGGGCTTAATGAGCTCACCTGATCAGGTGCTGCACACGGTTCTAGTCCTAAACTTCACTACTGACACCCACCCTGCAATTTGACTTAAACCCAGAGAGCAAGGTGTTCGCTCATCTGACATAACTGGTACGCGCTAACCGACAATACCACTCAGACCCTTCAAAAGGAATGGAAACTTCGGAATATATCAGCAACATTTCCATCCCACGAGGGCACCAGAACATTACATGGTCACATTACGTTTTTCATTTAGCAACTGCATTATCAGGGAGAACTCATGTCTCTATACACACATTTACTTGCCTAAACACGCAAGTGAGAGGTAAACACACATAAACACCCACCCTGCAAGTTGACTCGAGTTCAGAGAGCCAGCTGTCTGTGCAACTGATATAACTGTTACTCAGTAACCGACTATACCACTCAGACCCTTCAAAAGGAATGGAAACTTCGGAATATTTCCGCGACATTTCCATCCTCTGTGGGCACCAGTGCAGTACATGGTCACATTACGTTTTTCATCAAGTAACTGCATTATCAGTGAGAACTCGTGTCTCTATTCACACACCTTTAGCAGCTGTTCGTGCAACTGACATAACTGGTACGTTCTAACCGGCTATACCACTCAGACCCTTCAAAATGAACGGACACTTCGGAATATTGGAATATTTCAACGACATTTGCATTCCCTGAGGGCACCAGAACAGTATACGCTCACATTACGTTTTTTATTAAGCAACTGAATTATCAGAGTTGATAATTCTTATCTCTATTTACATCTTATCTCTTATCTCTATTTACACACATTTACTTGCCTAAACACGCAAGTGCGAGGGGAAACTCACATAGACACCCACCCTGCAAGTTGACTCTAACCCAGAGAGCCAACTCTGGTTCACGCAACTGACGTAACTGGGACGCGTTATCCAACTATACCACTCAGGCACTTCAAAGGGAATGGAAACTTCGGAGAATTTCCGCGACCTTCCCATCCCCCGAGGTGACCAGAGCATTACCCGGTCACATTACGTTTTTCATCGAGCAACTGCATTATCAGGGAGCACTCGTATCTCTATTCACACACATTTACTTGCCTAATTGCGGAAGTGAGAGGTAAACACACATAAACACCCACCCTGCAAGTTGACTCGAACCCAGAGAGTCAGTTGTTTCCTCAACTGACATAACTGGTACATGCTAACCTACTATACCACTCAGACCCTTCAAAAGGAATGGACACTTCGGAATATTTCCACCCCCCGAAGGCACCAGAGCAGTAAACGGTCATATTACATTTTTCATCAAGTGGCTGCTTTATCAGGGACAACTCGTGTCTCTATTCACACACATTTACTTGCCAAAACTCGCAAGTGAGTGGTAAACACACATAGACCCTCACCCTGCATGTTGACTCGAACCCACAGAACCAGCTGTTTGCGCATCTGACATAACTGGTACGTGCTAACTTATTATACCACTCAGACCCTTCAAAAGGAATAGACATATTGTATTCAGGTATAGACGTTGGTATCGACCTGATCCTGGTATAGACATACCAGGTCAAGATTCACATGGGTTCTCAGGCAGTGGCGTAAAACACTCTTGGAACAACGGGCATATTCTGTACACAGAAAACTAGTATACCAGCCCCTTGCTGACCAGATTCCTCCTTGATCACAACACCACCGTATGTTATTTTTTTCCACATTGTTGACAGTACAGTGCTGAACTGTTTCAACACGTATCTCATGAAATCTGGCAAGAGAACCCCAATATGTATATTCATTGTTGCTCTAGTGTCACAACTACTAGTGAAGTATGAGGTGGAGGACAGTGTTGTGTCACTTTGGATGCCAGCAACAATGCCTCATATATATTTCCATACAGACTCAAGTGTAAAGCATGTCTTGCTGAACGTAAGCTTGGTTATATGCCAAGCACAGGAACACGTGAAAAAACTTATTGTGCCGGTGTTCCTTACGCAAAAATTCGTTGCCACTTGAAGTGTTGTGTGCAGAGTTCCCCTGTGCACCGTTGGCTGCGTCATTGACACTCACTCGCACAGTACTGTGTTGATAAAGTTGTATATAATCTATGATAATGTACAGTGTATGTAAATAAGTTGTAAATGTACTTAATTGAACATGTAATATGGAAAATATGAACAATGTTTGTGGGCACATTTGTGATACATGTAACAGTTTCTTTGAACAGTACAGAAGTATTACTTCATGAATATTGTAAACCTGTTCAATATACATAAAATTTGCCAGAAAAAAAAAAAATGTATTTGTAATTGTGCGGAAAATCTATATAAATAAAAATGGAAATGTTCGTTTGTTCAAAATCGTTAATCTCCGAAAGTTCTTCACCGATTACTTTGAAATTTTCACACAATGTTTCATTCGCATCTGAGCGGGTTTTTATATACATACTATATTGATGTCACGTCTGTGACGGAAAAAGGCTTGCTTTTTTTTCTCTCTCGTGTGTTTTTCATGAGAGAAATCTTCGAAATCTCTGCTTTGAAATTTTGACTCGTCATTGGATTCGAATAGGCACGTGTTTTTATATACCTATTATATACGTGTCTCACCTGTGACAGGAAAAAACATTTTTTTTTTAAACAGTGCCATTTGTTGGACGTAAGAGCAACACACGCTGTAATCTCCCAAAGTTTTACCGATTACTTTGCAATTCTGACACAACGTTCAATTCGAATATGCGCCTGTTTATATATACCTACTATATAGATGCCACACCTGTGACAGGTAAATACATTTATTTTCAAACAGCGCCATCTGATGCACGTAATAGCAACACACACACACACACACACACATTATACTAAATTTGTTAAGAATTCCATTCCAATGTTTCCGATTGCATTGATAAATTTAATTTTCATAGATTTCGATTTATTTTAATTTTTATTGAAATATTTTGTGTGAAATTGTGGTGGAATTGAGCTGTGTTGATTACCATACTGGTGGCTGTGTCGCTTACCATTTCGTTAGTATATGTATAGTTGCTACACCTGTGACAGGTAAAAACATTCTTTTTTTAAGAAACAGCGCCATCTGTTGCACGTAAGAGTCACACACACTATACTAAACATGCTACGATTCTATTTCAATGTTTTCGATTGCATTGACAAATTAAACTTTCATACATTTCAATTTATTTTCATTTTGATTTAATTATTTTGTGTGACATTGCATTGGAACTGAGCTATGTGGTTTACCATACCGTTAATGTCGTGAGTATAAGTATAGATGCCACACCTGTGACAGGTAAAAACATGATTTAAAAAAAAAACATCTCCACCTGTTGCACATAAGAGCGACTTATGCTATACTAAATATGTTTCGATTCCATTTCAATGTTTCTGATTTCAATGATAAATCGAATTTTCATAAATTTCAATTTATTTTCATTTTGATTAAATTAATTTGTGTGACATTGCGTTGGAGTTGAGCTTTGTTGTTTACCATACCGTTCATTTCGTGAGTATAGTTTATTTGTTTATTTTTTCAATTTTTTCATTTAATTTTTTTAATTGTTTTTCTTATATTTCAGTGATGGGAACATCAGATCATTTGATGTTCCCAATTTTCTGATGGGAACATCAGATCAATTGGGAATGCATCGGACAAGGGAGTTTGGAATGGTGGGGAGGATGAGGCGACAGGAATGGGGGATGGTGGGGAGGACGAGGGGACAAGGGAGTGAGGAATGGTTGGGAGGATGAGGGGACAGGGAAGGGGAGGACTGGGGGACAGGGGGAAGGTTGCTGTTGCTCAGCAACGGACATGCCTTACTGAGCCACAGCAACACATGGCCGGCTACAGCTAGTATTTACATAAAAATATTTGTGACAACTCGCGCTTACTGAATCTGACGCGCGACTGCCGCTTGGAGTCTCCACCACCGCGACCACCCAGGAGTGACGCCACACCCCATATTCTGGACACCACTGCGGCCAAAGTAAATACATTTGTGCAATATTTTCAAAATATGTGGTCGGTGAAGAGTATTTAACAATTCTTGAATTAAAACAAAATTTTGGCAAAGAATTTATTTTCGGTGCACCACGGGTTTGTCGTATTTTAAGTCCACGCAGCACAGTAGTTAGGGAGGTGTCTGATGGCCCAGCTGGCAGGAGAAGGTGGGTGACTAGGGAGGAGGTGGCCGACGGGCCAGCTGGGAGGAGGTGGCCGACGGGCCAGCTGGGAGGAGGTGAGTGACTAGGGAGGAGGTGGCCGACGGGCCAGCTGGGAGGAGGGCCGACGGGCCAGCTAGGAGGAGGTGAGTGACTAGGGAGGAGGTGGCCGACGGGCCAGCTGGGAGGAGGTGGCCGACGGGCCAGCTAGGAGGAGGTGAGTGACTAGGGAGGAAGTGGCCGACGGGCCAGCTGGGAGGAGGTGGCCGACGGGCCAGCTAGGAGGAGGTGAGTGACTAGGGAGGAGGTGGCCGACGGGCCAGCTGGGAGGAGGTGGCCGACGGGCCAGCTAGGAGAAGGTGGGTGACTAGGGAGGAGGTGGCCGACGGGCCAGCTGGGAGGAGGTGGCCGACGGGCCAGCTGGGAGGAGGTGAGTGACTAGGGAGGAGGTGGCCGACGGGCCAGCTGGGAGGAGGTGGCCGACGGGCCAGCTAGGAGGAGGTGAGTGACTAGGGAGGAGGTGGCCGACGGGCCAGCTGGGAGGAGGTGGCCGACGGGCCAGCTAGGAGGAGGTGAGTGACTAGGGAGGAGGTGGCCGACGGGCCAGCTGGGAGGAGGTGGCCGACGGGCCAGCTAGGAGGAGGTGGGTGACTAGGGAGGAGGTGGCCGACGGGCCAGCTGGGAGGAGGTGGCCGACGGGCCAGCTAGGAGGAGAAACCCTGGTCGTCCAGCCACTGAACGATGACGTCATAGTTATTGCTCATCCAGGCGATGTTGTTGGCTGTTCTTTCAATTGCTTGATCAACAGCTTGAGCCGCTGTGTGCAGGTCCTCAGGGTGTTCCTCCTTGAACATCTCCAACTGCACAGATAAAGATAGATATATTACTCAGTTTTGCGACGACAAAATATGAGATCATGACGCAAAGTTAAACCAATAGTCGTCACATGTTCATTGCAATGTGAAGAGATAAGAAAGAGGACGCAAAATAAGTCAGGTCTTGGGTGTCATATATATATATGAGAAACATGACAAACTGTCAGGTATTGGGGTGTCATGTACACATACGGGAAACATGACAAACTGTCAGGTATTGGGGTGTCATGTACACATACGGGAAACATGACAAACTGTCAGGTCTTGAGTGTCATATATACATAAGCATGATAAATGGTTTCATTTGTGTATGATGTTTCAGAAAGGTTGCTGATTGTAGACTAGCAGCCAGCACTGAGCGCGCTCCACCAACAACATGAATTGCGATTAAAATGGAAGAATGAACCAGGTAAGAATAAACCAGAGTCAGCATTTTCAGGTGCTTCCATTGCTGACGGTTGTCATAACGTAGATCCTGGTACATGGAGCTACAACACTCATTCGCTTTCCTTTTTTCAGCAGCATATCGCTATCAAAGGACTGTTGAACTACTAACTTTATGGATGACCTCAGAAAGATACACCATCATCTGAGAAAGGAACACAGATCAACTCTATACCTGAGATGAACTGTACTAAGAACATATAAAGGAGCAAATCAGCTGAATGGAAGACGTGTCGCATATTACTACGACTTGCTGGACTTCCTTTAACTGACACCCTGAATCAAGAAGTATATGGGTGCCAGTATGAAGGAGTATATGGGTGCCAGTATGAAGGAGTATATGGGTGCCAGTATGAAGGAGTATATGAGTGCCAGTATGAAGGAGTATATGGGTGCCAGTATGAAGGAGTATATGGGTGCCAGTATGAAGGAGTATATGGGTGCCAGTATGAAGGAGTATATGGGTGCCAGTATGAAGGAGTATATGGGTGCCAGTATGAAGGAGTATATGGGTGCCAGTATGAAGGAGTATATGGGTGCCAGTATGAAGGAGTATATGGGTGCCAGTATGAAGGAGTATATGGGTGCCAGTATGAAGGAGTATATGGGTGCCAGTATGAAGGAGTATATGAATGCCAGTATGAAGGAGTATATGGGTGCCAGTATGAAGGAGTATATGGGTGCCAGTATGAAGGAGTATATGGGTGCCAGTATGAAGGAGTATATGGGTGCCAGTATGAAGGAATATATTGATACTAATATGAAGGAGTACATGGGTGCCAGTATGAAGGAGTACATGGGTGCCAGTATGAAGGAGTACATGGGTGCCAGTATGAAGGAGTATATGGGTGCCAGTATAAAGGCATATATGTGGTGCCAGTATATGGGTGCTAGAGCATAACATTGCAGCATAAGTTCCTCGGATGTTATGCCGATTATGCCTGTGAGTATAACACCCAAGTGTTATACTCCCCTCACAACCCCTCCACCACCCTGGTGTTACACTCCCCTCACAACCCCTCCACCACCCTGGTGTTACACTCCCCTCACAACCCCTCCACCACCCTGGTGTTACACTCCCCTCACAACCCCTCCACCACCCTGGTGTTACACTCCCCTCACAACCCCTCCACCACCCTGGTGTTACACTCCCCTCACAACCCCTCCACCACCCTGGTGTTACACTCCCCTCACAACCCCTCCACCACCCTGGTGTTACACTCTCCTCACAACCCCTCCACCACCCTGGTGTTACACTCCCCTCACAACCCCTCCACCACCCTGGTGTTACACTCCCCTCACAACCCCTCCACCACCCTGGTGTTACATTCCCCTCACAACCCCTCCACCACCCTGGTGTTACACTCCCCTCACAACCCCTCCACCACCCTGGTGTTACACTCCCCTCACAACCCCTCCACCACCCTGGTGTTACACTCCCCTCACAACCCCTCCACCACCCTGGTGTTACACTCCCCTCACAACCCCGCCACCACCCTGGTGTTACACTCCCCTCACAACCCCTCCACCACCCTGGCATTACACTCCCCTCACAACCTCTCCACCACCCTGGTGTTACACTCCCCTCACAACCCCGCCACCACCCTGGTGTTACACTCCCCTCACAACCCCTCCACCACCCTGGCATTACACTCCCCTCACATTACACACAACAGTGACTCATGCTACGAGTCTGTAACACCTACCTCATGTTTCTCTTCATTAGTGTTGAACTCTGCGGTAGCTGCTTCGACCAGATCACTCAAGGTGGTGAAGGAGCTGACGCTGTTGTGGGCAGAAGGTAATCTATATTAGCTGAAGCATAAAACAGGCATGGCACAAGTTCACTACGGTCTCACTATAGTCTGTGCTACTTGTAACTTTGGTTCCGAGTAGCTGAAGCTATAACAACAACAGCGACAGGCAAGGGCATGGAATTTTATTTGTTTAATTTAGTAATACGAACAACATGCTGTTCTCTCTCTCTCTCTCTCTCTCTCTCTCTCTCTCTCTCTCTCTCTCTCTCTCTCTCTCTCTCTCTCTCTCTCTCTCTCTCTCTCTCTCTCTCTCTCACACACAGACACACATAGATGGAATGCATTAGGCAGTCATGTGGTGGAGGCTGACTCCATACATAGTTTCAAATGCAGATTCGATAGAGCCCAGTAGGCTCAGGAATCTCTACACCAGTTGATTGACAGTTGGGAGGCGGGACCAAAATGCCAGAGCTCAACTCCCACAAGCACAACTAGGTGAGTACAACTTGTCAAGTATACGCGCGCACACACACACACACACACACATACACACACACACACACACACACACACACACACACACACACACACACACACACACACACACACACACACACACACACACACACACACACACACACACACACACACACACACACACACACACAAAGTGGGGGCCTCGTAGCCTGGTGGATAGCGCGCAGGACTCGTAATTCTGTGGCGCGGGTTCGATTCCCGCACGAGGCAGAAACAAATGGGCGAAGTTTCTTTCACCCTAAGTGCCCCTGTTACCTAGCAGTAAATAGGTACCTGGGAGTTAGTCAGCTGTCACGGGCTGCTTCCTGGGGTGTGTGTGTGTGTGGCGTGGGGAAAAAAAAAAAAGTAGTTAGTAAACAGTTGATTGACAGTTGAGAGGCGGCCCGAAAGAGCAAAGTTCAACCCCTGCAAAAACACAACTAGTAAACACAACTAGTAAACACACACACACACACACACACACACACACACACACACACACACACACACACACACACACACACACACACACACACACACACACACACACACACACACACACACACACACACAGGTTTATCCCAGAGTTAAGAGGGATGGGATATGAAGAACGTCTGAAGGAACTGAACCTTACGACACTAGAGAAAAGAAGGGAGAGAGGAGATATGATAGGGACACATAAAATACTCAGGGAAATTGACAAAGTGGAAATAGATGATATGTTCACACGTAATAATAACAGAACAAGGGGACATGGGTGGAAACTGGAAACTCAGATGAGTCACAGAGATGTTAGGAAGTTCTTTTTTAGCGTGAGAGTAGTGGAAAAATGGAATGCACTTGGGGAACAGGTTGTGGAAGCAAACTCTATTCATAATTTTAAAATTAGGTCTGATAGGGAAATGGGACAGGAGTCACTGCTGCAAACAACCGATGGCTGGAAAGGCGGGATCCAAGAGTCAATGCTCGATCCTGCAAGCACAAATAGGTGAGTACACACACACACACACACACACACACACACACACACACACACACACACACACACACACACACACACACACACACACAGTGGAGATGTAAGGAAGCTTTTGTTGAGTTGGATGTGACAAAGGCTAAAGGCCCGGTTGGAATATCACCATGGATACTAAAGGAGCAGAAGCACTGTGCCTGCCACTCTCCATGGTGTATAACAAATCACTGGTAACAGGTGAAATGCCAGAAATTTGGAAGGCGGCAAACGTGGTCCCTATATACAAGAAGGGGAATAGACAGGAGGCACTGAACTATAGGCCAGTGTCCCTAACTTGCATACCATGCAAGCTAATGGAGAAAATTGTTCGAAGAAAGCTAGTCGAACATCTGAAGCGAAGGAACTTTGTGTCATGACACCAACATGGTTTCAGGGATGGCAAGTCATGCCTCACAGGATTAACTGAATTCTACGATCAGGCAACAAGAAAGAGAGGGGTGGGCAGACTGCATATTTTTGGATTGCCAAAAAGCCTTTGACACAGTGCCACACCAGAAAATTCTTTCTAACGTCGCTATGGCTCATTTGGGCACTCAATTTCCACCTGTGTCTCCTAGTGCGTGTGCTTTATCTTGTCTTTATCTACCCTGTCAATTCCTTTGAGAATCTTGTATGTAGTGATTATGTCCCCTCTCATGTGTGTGTGCGTGTGCGTGTGCGTGTGCGTGTGCGTGTGTGTGTGTGTGTGTGTGTGTGTGTGTGTGTGTGTGTGTGTGTGTGTGTGTGTGTGTGTGTGTACTCACCTATTTTGTTTCATTAATAGACACACACACACACACACACACACACACACACACACACACACACACACACACACACACACACACACACACACACACACACACACACACACACACACACACAGGGGCCAGTGGCTGAGTGGAAAGCACGCTGGATACGTTGTTTTGTGGTTCGAGGGTTCGATTCCCGGCGCCGGCGAAAATAAAAATGGGCAGAGTTTATTTCACCTTGATGCCCCTGTTACCTAGCAGTAAATAGGTACTTGGGAGTTAGACTGCTGTTACGGGCTGCTTCCCGGGGTGTGTGTTTGTGAAAAAAAATTGTTAGTGGTAGTTAGTAACAGTTGATTGACAGTTGATAGGGGGGCGGGCGAAAGAGCAGAACTCAACCTTCACAAGCAAAATTAGGTGAATACAACTTGGTTAATACACTCCCATACATGACAAACTGAAATCGCTGAAATCAACGTATTTTATACGTTGAAAGGTGACACGTATAACAACGTATGTTATACGTGTCACTTTTCTGCTAACAAATAAAGATGTCAGAAAACGTTTTGTTTACTAGGTTGCAACTTTTCTTTCCCGCAACCCTTTGGAAACGTTAGTGGAGGTTACAACAATGTACATGTTTGCTGAGTGAGAGAGGAGAGGTGGGGAAGAAGAGAGGGGAGGGGGGAAGGAGAGAGGGGAGGTTGGGAAGGAAGGAGGGGCGGTGGGGAATGAGAGTGGGAAGGAAGGAGGGTAGGTGGGGAAGTTAACACACATGATGGCTCCGAAACTAAACAATTCATTACATTTCGAAGCAAAATATTTTATACTCACTAATTAGATATATGTTGCCACTGGTCCCTGAGGTAGTTCCAGGCCAGGTCACGTCCGATGTCGTTCCTGGAGACGGAGCTGAAAACGGTAGAGGCGTCCTGACTCCTGACGCCGCTGTCTGCAGTGAAGGCCATGTCAAGGTACCTGTAGCGGGAGTCAGAGGCAGCAGGAGTCAGGGGCAGCAGGAGTCAGGGGCAGCAGGAGTCAGGGGCAACGGGAGTCAGGGGAGTCAGGGGCAGGGGGAGTCGGGGGCAGGGGGAGTCGGGGGAAGGGAGAGTCGGGGGCAGTGGGAGGCAGGGGCAGTGGGAGGGGTTATGTGGGGATTTTCTGGTAGTCTATATAAATAAAAATGTAAATGTTCGTTTGTTCAAAATCGCTGATCTCCGAAAGTTCTTCACCGATTGCTTAGAAATTTTCACACAATGTTCCATTCGCAACCGAGCGGGTTTATATATATATATATATATATATATATATATATATATATATATATATATATATATATATATATATATATATATATATATATATATATATATATATATATATATATATATATATATATATATATATATCTATATATATATATATATATATATATATATATATATATATATATATATATATATATATATATATATATATATATATATATATATATATATATATATATATATATATATATATATATATATATATATATATATATATATATATATATATATATATATATATATATATATATATATATATATATATATATATATATATATATATATATGTGTGTGTGTATGTTTATCTAACTTTATTTGAAAATGTCATTACACAAAAAAAGTTACAATATTGATTACATGCAGGGTACAAGGCTGCTTGTCACAAGTTAAACAGCTCCTCCAGCTCCTGAGATGGCAGGCAGGAACCATGGATGCAGTGAGCATTTCCTCTCTGGATTGCCACACTAAGGCGCTGAAAATGAAACGGGCAGCTCTAGGGTCTCTAGTTGTTTCGATTAGCTTAGACCCCAACTCCTTCAAAAAGCTAGCAGCACTTTTACCCCAGGCACCAAGTGTCTCTGAGGCAATGGGGACAAAATTGTAGTGGTGCTCAAGGTCTCTGTATTTACGTGACTTGGCCACTTCCCGGTGATTGGCAGCTCCTCCTGCTTGTGTAGCACTGAAGTCAACATAGGTATTGGCTAAAGTTGAAATGCAAATGTAGTCCCACACCAACTGTCTACCATTCTTCCATGGGTTCACTGTGATTCTGTCTGGGCGACCGACAGGCTTATCAGAGTTGCGGGACATTAGGTAACGGGGCTCTTTCTCTGCTGGACAACCGGCTGTGGTAAGGCTTCTCTTATTATTAATGTCATTGACCTCGCCGTGTCTTGC